ATTATCAATATATATATATATATATATATATATATATATACAAAGAATAATCCATGGAGTCTAAAGACCTTTGTTTGAGTAGAACTAAAATTGAATACATGAAATGTAATTTTAGTAGTAGTAGGTCTAGTGACACAATTATAACTATGGGTGATCAAATTAATAAAAGTTGTGAACTTTTTAAATATCTCGAGTCTATTGTTCAAAGTGATGGTGATAAAAATGGCGATGTTTTTTTAAATGGCGATGTTATTAGTAGCATTCAAGTTGGTTGGTTGACATGGAGGAATGTTTCAGAGAAAAGTGCCGCTTAGACTAAAAAAAAATTTTATAAGATGGTTGTGAGACTTGTAATGCTTTATGGCGAAGAATGTTGGCCTTTAAAAGTGAAGCGTAAAAGTAAGTTAAAAGTGTTGCAAGATGAAAATGCTTAGCTGGATGAGTGGCATTACATTTAAAGCCAAATTGCGAAATGAATATATCCATGATAGGGTTGGTGAAGCTCCAGTGGCAGACAAAATTAGAGAGAGTTGTCTTAGATGGTTTGGTCACATTAAATGTCGACCATCTGATGATCTGATTATGAGAGTAGATGTTTTAAATATGACTTATGTTAAGAAAGACAGAGGTAGACCTAGAAAAACTTCGACATTGTATAAAAAATAAACTTAATTTATTAGAATTAAATGAGAATATGACACTCAATAGGACGCAATGGAGAAAAAGAATTCACAATGGAGAAAAAAAAGAATTCATGTAGCCGACCCCACTTAGTAGGATAAAGACTTGTTATTTTTGTAAGAATAATCTCTAGCTCATAAAAAAGTTTTTTTAATCTAGCTATTATGGTTAGTATCTGAATTGTTCTCAATGCTTTTTTATTGCCTCAAAATTATCAACTCTTAAATTTATCTCAAAACTCTTGCAAAATCTTCTTAATATATGTCATCAATAAACTTGCAAAAGGATCATCTTTTGCCTTATTCAACAAACTTGTTTGATAACACGCCATTGCTGAAAATACATGTTTAGCTGTTATAATTGAAATAAATAAAGTTAATTCCAATCAAATTAATTAATCAATGAGAGAATATATGATCAATAATCTATACTTTATCAACATTTGACATAAATCGTAATTTATGGAAAGATTCTTAAAAGTTATTTTTTTATAAGCTTGAATTTCAAAATGTTCCAATTAATTTTTTACGCACAACTTCTCCTGATTTATAAAATCATAAGGATAAAACATATTCATAAGGTGATAGTTATCATCAATGTTAAATAGTTAGTATCTAACTCTATGATCCATGCTAAACTAAGCATAAAAAGTTCTACAGCATGTTTGGTAAATCTAGTGTTAATACAAACCCTAAACTTACATCATGACCCCTAAAAGCACAAACTTAAAATGTAAAAGCCACTTTGGGACAAAAGATTGTAAAGCTCAACGATTTCAAGAATTCGGGCAAGAAAGAGAAGAACAGGAGAACAAGTGGGTTTCAAGAATTTTGGTGCAAAAGTGTTTTTAACTTTAATAATTTCTTAAATTCTTATCACTAATAAACAGTATTTAAATTAAATAATATAATTACAATATTTAATCATTTATCTTAAAATATGATTTATTTTATATTCTAATCATACATTATGTTTGTGGTGCCAGAATTTTCAGCACAATATATAATTATAAGAGGTCTACTACAAACATAAGGTCGTAAGCACCCTTCCATACCACCTGCTGGTTCCACAAATGGAGCCCTGATAGCTCACTCAATGAGTTGGCAGCCTTCGCAAGAAAGTACACGAGGCAGGTACCATAGAGATGCCGTTTTAACAAAATAGATGGAGGCATGGCAGTCAAAGACCATTGTCACTTGTTGCACCAAAAAAATGTTGTTCAAAGGCTTCCATATCCTCGGAAATTTGCAAAAATTGGGCCTTTTCTAATACAACAACAACAACAACAACAGCAAAGCCTTAATCCCACCACGTGGGGTCGGCTACAAAAAAAAAGTGACAAAAATTGGGCCTTCTCTAATAAAAAAATAAAATAAAAAAAGAAACACCATTTTAATAAAATCTAAAATAAACCTAGAGCATATTCCTCTCACCACAAAATGGCGATTAAAGAAAGGGAAAAATGGAAAGTTTAACCAAAACTTGAGATTGGTTGGAACTTGGGAAATATATTTTGAGAGGAGAACATGAGAGATTGGAAAACAATTTTACCAATGAGGGGGCTCAAAAATGCCTGAAAATCAGAAGCTATATTCCCCTTTGCTCATCGTGTTAGATGCTGCTCACTTGCCACCATCTCTATTACTTTTTGAATTTATTTTCTTAGTCTTACTCGTTAGTAGAATGCTTTCCGCCATTGCATTCAAAGAAGCTAAAGAGAGATTTATATAGCCTTTCATATAACCTAAGATTGAGGGAAAGGTACAGCCACTAGGTGGTGTTAAGTGCATGTGGTAGTTCCTCATGTGTGAGGTCTTCTTAAAAGGCAAAGTGCGTGCAATAGTTTATCATGTGTTGTCTTCTAAAGGGGTGTACTTTGGGGCAACACACCATGTTGAGAAGGATACATTTTTTCATCGCTGTAATAGATAAAATACACAATAAAGCTAGACTTTTAAAATAAATTTACTTTTTATCGAGTCATTCTTGCATTTTTTACGTGATTGATGAATGGTTAAAATATCTTTAAAAATGAGAACAACAAACACTAACAACAAAACCATTATCCCACTAAGTGGGGTCGGCTACATGAATACTTTTTCTCCATTACGTCTTATTCGTCTTATTTAGTGTCATATTATTTTCATTTAATTCTATAAATTAAGATCATAATGAGAAAATGGTCCAAACATACTTCTTATGTTGTAGATCATAATCAATGAAAAGTAGATCAAGTAGCAAATGTAAAAATAAAATTAGGAGGAAAGTAGTTGGCTTCACTGATGAAAAATTCCATCTCAATTTTAATGCATAACAATTTGTTCATAATTAGTCAAAGTCAGAATCAATAGATTAACTCATAGAAGAGCTAAACCTCTACAATCTGCTTCTACCTTCAAACCCCAAGCAACCATAAATATATTGTACCACATGGAATACAAATTTGACTCTAAACAACAGCTAATCTAGGTAAATAGCATTGGTGACTTGGTTTGAAATTAACAAAATATACTTGTTGAAAAACAAATTAGGAAATAAAGCAATCATGCAAGAAGAAAATTACCTGATTGGCAGGTACTTGAATCTTGGAACCGTAGAACATCTCAATATATTTGATTCAGTATTGGACTTTGTAGGTAATTTTTGAACTGTGTCAATATAGAGACGATCAAGCTGAATAAAGAACCCAAAGAGTACAGAACTTCGTTTGTACGACTGTTTTTCATTCTCCCATAGATAAGGCTCGTACCTACCCATTATGGAATGAAAGGTTAGAATGCAAAGAAAACAGAAAAAAAGTCAGAAATTAACAATTCTAGTCGAACAATATATTGAAAAAAAATATAATATGTTGTAAGTAGGGACATTGAGCACTTAAAAATTATTACCAAAAATAAAAAATTCTTCAAACAGCATTCATCTATTCTACTTTTGGAACGTTATAAAGGTGAAATGAGTAAACTTCAAATATGTTGGAGATCTTACGTTGCCCAATCAATGGGATCCAATCTTTGTGAGAACCTTTGTATTAGACGTGAAACAAGCTCCATAATACTTGAGTCTGGCTGTAGCACAAGTTTTCTCCTTGCAGGGAGAAATTCATCACTGATAGAGTTCGTGTCCTTGCCTCCAGAGAGAACATCAGCACAGAATCGTAAGTCTAACATAATCTGCAGAATACCTTTTTCCGATATATGTGATTCAGGGGCCTCAACTTTTGCAAGCAAGTTTTCATAGACTACAATAACCTGGGCATCAATTGGATTAGTACTCTTATGACAATGATCATTGGCATAAACAACTAAGCTAAACAAACATTATGATTTAGACAAAATTCATGAAGGCAACTACTATGAGATGGAAAGCTAGGAAATGGGCCTACTAGAAATAATGAATTTCGATTAAAGAGAATCTCTTCCTGTTGAAGAAACTTCGTGGGGGACATAAAATCAAGAATTATATTAAAAGACAAAATGTGTGAAACAAACCATTTCAATAATAGTGAAATAAACTCACAAAAAATGATTTCAAATAAAACTATAACACAACAAGAATAACAATATGGACTTAAAAAAAAAGGAGTGGTTGCATCCAGTTTGCCCATAATACTGTCACAAATTGCTGTATTCAAGTCAATCCATGATCAAGAGGTTGGTAATAAAAATACTACTTTGAACATGTCAATTAACGTCTCTTGAAAAATTATGTGATGACTGATAATGGATGAATATTAAACTGCAAAATTACAAAATAGTGATGAAATTTAGGGATACTTATGCATAGCGACCGAAACATCGCTATTTACAAAATCTAGCACCCATGTGATATTTTTGAACTACCGAATCGACGTATTTACAAGTGCCACAATCGAACCATTTAGAATTTGATAAAAATAAAAATGCGGGTTGGGGTTTGTTCATGAATTTTGATTATTGAGTGAGAATTTGAAAAATGGATGAAAGAGGGTGCTAGAATTGTAAATAGCAATGTTCGGGTGCTATGTGTGTAAACAGCCCTAACACTCAAGTATATCACAGAAATATATCATAATAAAAATAACAAGAGTGATACCTTCTTAAGCTAATAAATTAAGTCAGGTTCACTTTTTCACTTTAGCAAAGTTAGGGATACAGGAAAAAAAATTTAGAATAATTTACAATATAAGAAGTATGAAGTCTCACCCTACAAAAAGCTGGGACATTGATCCAAAGAAAAAAGCGACCATAAAAGCTTAAGAAAATCACTGTTAGGTTTTTAATCAGGGAGCAACTAGGTGCTATTCACAGGTCAGTCACACGGCCCCAACTGTTATCTGATTGATTGGGAAAGTTTCTACAACAGACACAGAATCATCCCAATTTTGCACCAAGCAGCAAAAAAAAGGAAAAAAAAATACTAAATTAAATAAGGAAGCAGCAAGAAAATAATTTAGTTGAGAAGCAATGGCCCGTAGATATAATGTAAAATGGTATAACCATATGCAGCAAAAGTGACAGCTTACCTTCTTTAACATTTCAAAGGCAAAATTTTGCAGGATAACTTTATCCAGAACATGCCCCCCAACTTTGTGAATTTCTTGGCATGCTTGGAACAGGAAAGATATAATGTACTGTGAAGCCATGGAAGGGAGAGCTATTTGCATCTCTAAATGACCATCAGTAGGTTCCTCTTGTCTGATCACAGTAACTTCCCAACCCTAATTAAGGCACAACGTCATAACTCGTTGAATCATAAGACAATCAAAAGTACAAACGAATACTGCCTAGGTATATGAACTGCTTAAGAAACAAGTAAACATAAAACAAGTACAGCATTTTCAGTAAATAGATGTGTCTACTACAAAATTCCTATCCAATATACATTAAAAGCTGAAAATACATTGCGATCAATTAGCTGATGTCATATGAAATTCTTTATGAATGCTTCATTTCTAGGTATTCATCGGCTTGTTAAATCTTGACTAAACTGATTATGGTCAAACTTTGAATGGCTCAAGTATAATAAGAAGAGGAAAAACAATGAAAACCAAAGGAGTAACTTACATGATTGCAATACTTTGAATGAGTAAACTATTTAGTTTCCTAGAACTGTAAACTAAATAGTTTTTCAAGTACAACATTATTACAATTTCTTGTGGAAGTACACAATTAATTCATCTCCAAAATTAAATCACATGTAGTACATTCACTAATGAACCTTTCAATTTATAAGATTTAATGCCCTAGTATTCCGTCAGAAGTTGTTTCCAGCAGTCCCTAAGAAACCTCATGCTTCATTATCTATTATTAGTACTTCCATCCTAAACGTCATCCTTAAAATTAATACTGCAGCTCGTGTATGCAGTGAACTACTGTTCATTAAATGTTTCATATTCAAATTTAGTACCCAAAAATCTATTTTTTTACTGAATTAAAATTCACTCCAATGCATACCAAAAGTGGCTATTTTGCACTCAGCTTTCATAAGAATAGCATAACTCTTGGACCCAATCCTAAGATTTTAATAATATTTGAATCACTATAGCACGTTGAACTTTAAAAAGCCTATACTGTTGACAAAGAGAATTGCTAGCATCGAATTAAGCACACTAGTCACTTGATGCAAAAACAACCCATCCATTTTTTAAAGTAGAAAACATGCATGATAAGACAGCCTTATTCCACACTAACTGATGTCACAAGAAGTAATAGTTTTTGTTCTCAAGAATATGCATCCTAGCTTTACTACTGCAGCTACCAATTCCATCAACTAATTATCGATCTAAAATAAAACTAAGTATTAGTTATGTAAACAATATAAAACATACAAAGAAAAGCCAAATAAAATTAATGCTTCTGCAATGTTAAAACAAAATCCTAATCTAAGGTCAATTTCAGTTGATGTATTGCATAGCAGAAAAGTTAGAAACAAATCTATATCTTACTCATTTGATGTGTCACTTCCACTCATTTATTGAGAAGAGTTAAAGCACCATACAATATTTGGTCAACACTATGAAGGGTCAAGTTTGTCAAGTTGTTCTATGACATACACTAGATTGATCATTCAGGACTTGATAATTTAGAGTCAGCCAGTCCTACACCAACAAATTGTTTTAGCCATTTCTTCACTTGAAAAAAGTAGAAGAAAAAAGGTAACTAGAGAAAACTATGTCCTATAATTGCCTTATCAGTTCATAACAGTGTCTCCTTCATGTTCAATATTATCAGCAAATAAATCTAGCCACAAGACATAAGTAACCGAATCTCCCTTAAAAGATATTCTAAAAATGCGTCCCATCAATGACAACTAGATTATATGAGTTTAAGAAAAAAGGATAAATATTACTTCAATGTTCAAAGAAGTAATAGCATAAAAGGCATCAAAACAGGAGTGTCAATTGTTCTCCAAATATACTAGCAAATAGATGTGCATAATGTGAAGCTGGTGATTCTAAGTAAGAATATACATACTCTCAGTGGATTTGTCACAGAAAGAGCATCATCATGATTAAGGTTGCTGGACAAAATGATAGATAGCTCATTGGAAACCCAAGTAATCCATAAGCTATGAGCTCTGATGCAGAGGTCTTGAAGTTTTCGGCTCAACTCTTCATGTTTTAGGTTTGCCCTGCTATCAACTGTAAATAATGCAGCAGCAGCTGAAAAAACTTGCCTTCTATGGCTTTCAAGAGAATGCCTTCCAGGACTTGGAGGGCTATCAAAAGAAGGTCTTCTAGGGCTAAAAGATATAGGGGAGTTTAAGGTTTCTTTGGATTGTTTAGATAGAGGTGAAGCCAAGCTAGTATATGCTGAGCCAGTTGTTTCCTTCACCCATAGCCTTGGAGAACCAAGTATGATTGGGATGTGACTTGAATGGTATTGCAATGCATACAAGAGACGTCCAAGAAAAAGAGTTCTTTCAACAATTACAGGAGGAGGCTGAGAATCATTATCCATTCTTTTGTCAACTAAAGAAACAGAAAGACCACCCATCTCCTCTTTGATCTCACCCAATAGGGCTGACATTGCTTTGTAGCATTTATTTTGAATATGCGGTGCTAGTTCCTTCAATCTTATTGCAGAATTATGTGATTCTATAAAGCACAAAAGATCATCCAAAATGCTACACAGTCTCTTATCTATTAGATCTCTAATTCGGCTAACTTCTGGTCCAAAATAAGCATTGAGACAACTGCGAAAGTCATTCTCATCAGCAGCAGGCTTGAAATTCTGGGCAAGTCCTGTTCTCCTCTGATTCAGCTCCGAAAACCAAACCCCACCACCCTTTGATGATTTCTTCAGGTATTCATAGAAATCCTTAGCACCATTAGGACCTGATACAATTGCTACAACTGAATCCCTAAGGCTAACCTCTTTTGTTAGGTCCTCAAATCCAGATTGCACAATTTCTTTCATCCTCAGCAGCTCCATTTTATCCTCAAAAATGTCCTTGCCATCTTTTAACATAAGCCCACATATTTGCTTCCAAGGAGATTTGATATCAGAACCAAAGACACCTCTAAGCCACTCCTCCAAGCTATCCTCTAGCCCCTCTCTTCCATTCAGTGCCTCCCGGACCATCTTTTCAGCAGCAACTAGCCCTTCACCGCCTGAAATATTTTGGATAATGACCTTACCATTTGAAGACCCTGCAAAAATCTCATCACAGCAACCCTGAAGCCATGAAGAACAAGCCTGACTGACAAATTCTGGCTCGAGCAAAACCATCACTGATTCCAGCTTCTCCCTGTGGGATTTCCACAGTTTCACCTCCTCCTCCGGATTGGGGATTCCCCCAAACAGCTGCGAGCCCGGGGGTGAACCAAGCACCATTTTGTAAAACAGTGGCATCTCATTTAACGCATGACGTAAGAGTTGTCCTACTTGCCCTAAACTAGACCTAATTATCCCAGCCACATCACAGAGCACCGCCGTAAACGAATTTGGTCTGCCATCCGCCGCTGGGCTAACAAGCTTCTGCGAGATCCATGCCCGTCTCGAATCAAGAAAGATGTCGAGAACCTGCTTGGGGTTGAGATCATCGATGGTGGCAGCGGCGGCAAGAGCATCAGCGTATGCAGCTACAGTAAGGCCCCGGTCCATAAGGCGATCCCTGCTGCGCTGCGAGATCTGACTTGTGAAGCTCTCCACAATCTGCCACTGGTGCTGCAACAGCGGGAAGAGTGAGAGAACGTCTGAATCAGCAGCGACACTTGAAATGAGGCCATGCACCTCCTTGGCACGGAGATAACGACCGGAGGCCTCGAGAAGCATGGACTCGTCGAGGCATCCCCAGATGTTCTCCGGTGTGTCAACCAGGTACTTGACACGGCACGCAATGCCGTAGATCTTAAAGCGGGCCGGATCGGGAGCAGTGTGAGGGGAATCGGTGGTGGAGGGGGACAGGGATCGGAGGGCGGCGTCGATGAGGGAGAGGTTAGAGTATATGGATTCGCAGGAGGACTTCATCTGAATGATAGAATCGGCTGAGTCAATGAGGTCGCGGTAGCTTTTCCCGACAAGCTGCCGGAGTTCCTCCTTCTTCTGTTCGATATCGCGGCGTGTAGCAGCTTCCACGGCGCGAATCTCATGGATCCTCTTGGAGCGGAAGAGAGACTCGGCGTCACGAAGACTTAAGGCGGTGGGTGTCGCCGGAGAATCCGCCGGCGGGCGGGTTGGCATCCTCATGGCGAGCGGGATCTGAAGGTGCGGAGCTTCACCCTCTCTGCACTCCTCCCTCTATATTTTCGCTTCCCGTCCTGGTTTATGAAGGTTTGAGATTTGATGCTAATTAGTGAATAGGATTAATATAATAGAATGCAATCACACATCACGTATTATAAGATAAACATAATATAGTACAATCTGATGGATATAATAAATCATAATTATAAATATTATAATGTTTAAAAATTAGGGCGAAGAAAAATAACAATAGACACAAATCCAGAAGAATAGAGAGATTTACGAGGTTCGACAAAGATGACTACATTATCGGGAGCAGAGCGGCGATTTTTCTTTCAATATTCAAAAAAATGTACAAAATAAAAAAAATTCAGAATTTCCCGTAGGGTTACAAACAAGACATATATATAATTCTATAATACAATATGTAATTACTTAAATTACCCTGTACCAAACTGCGAGGTGTTGCCCTCGCACTCCCAACCCAAATAATGAAACTCTCCCGATTGGACAGACCTTCCGCTCCACTCCTCTCGTGGGCTCCGCTCTACTCCAGCATTTGTCCCATTTATGATATATGAGTCATACCTAACAAATCTCCACCTTGGCGAATATCCAGCCCCTTATGAGAAGCATATCATGAAGTTTTTTATACATCAATGTGGGTTGGGCCACCATGTCATCTAACAGTTGCAAACATTCAACAAATTCAAGCGATGTAAGAACTTGTTGATTGTACCTGGCTTGTCAGCATATATGTTGCATTTTCATCATATGATCCAATATAATGAACTCCACCTACAATTGTACTCCCCAACAGTTTATATATATTACCTGCAGTTAACTTTCCATTAATCATAATTAGTGCACCTTTAACAATTCTGATGGTTTCTCTATCCCCATCTTTCTTAGAAATAAAACAATTTCTATGTAAAGTGCATAAGAAAATTAAGTTCTTCTTCAAATTTAGAATATGTTTGACTTCACATAATGTTTTAACAGTGTCATTATACATCTTAATTCTGACTTTCATAACAACAACAATATTGCAACATTTATTATCACTTGAATAGACTAAGCCAGAATTAGTTAACATGTATGAAATAAACCACTCCTTGTTAGGTGTTATGTGATAAGAGCACCCTAAATCAAGAATCTATGCATCCATGACTAAGTTGATGAAATTGAAAACAAATCACCATCACTGCAATATGAATTTTCACTCTGTACCACATTTACAGACTTGGATGATGCATCACCTTTCTCCCCAGTCTGTTTGTTAAGCTTTGGACAATCTTTCTTCATATAACCTAACTCCTTGCACTTGTAGCAATGAATCTTCTTTTTGCCTCTGGAATTTTGCCTTCCAGAGCTCTCCTTCTCCTTCCTTCCTCGATCCTGATTACCATTAGCATATAAACTATCTCCATGAGAGATTTCCCCTGCATTCTGTTTTCGCTGGTTGTGAGCCAACAATGCTGCAGTAATCTCATCAACTTTAATAGTTTCTTTCTCATATGTCAGAGTAGTCACCAGGTGTTCATAGGAAGAAGACAATGAACACAACAGAATCATTGCTCGGTCTTCATCCTCAATACTCACATCAAGTCTTGATAAATCGGTGATTATTTGATTGAAGTCATTCACATGCTGCGCTAGATCAGAACTTTCTTGCATCTTCAGCTCATACAGCTTTTGCTTCATATACAATTTATTCGTCAGAGATTTGGACATAAAATGAGTTTCAAATTTCTTCCATAACTCCCCTGGAGATTTCAAATTCATCATGAGATACATAACCTCATTTGTCAGACATAGACGTATGGTTGCTGCTACTCGTTATTGCAATTCTTCCCAGTCTTCATCCTCTATGACATTTGATTTTGCTGTCCACAAAGCTTTCAAGATTCCATGTTGAACCAACAAATCTTTCACCCTTGTTTGTCACAATCCGAAGTTACCAGTTCCATCGAATTTCACCACCTCGAATTTTGCACAAGAAATTGTCATCTGAAATTGATCCTGCAACGAACCTTTCTACAAATTCCTCTGTTGAATTTCCAAATTGCTTGAGCCAGAAATTGTTCTCACTTTCATCCTGCCACAAATCATTTTAAATAATCTCTTAATTAAATTTCCCAAAAAAAATGACTTTCCCTTACTTAAATTTTCCTTAATTAAGCTTTCCCAGAAATCCTTTTCCTTAAACTTCCAAGAAAGCTCCACCTCCTTTCAGAAAAGCTCCATTTTTGCTTTACAGAAAAGCTTCGCCTTACTTCTCAGAAAAGTTCTGTCTCTGCTTTCCTTCAAGAAAGAAATATTTTCTTTCCCAAGTGCAACAATAAATTCCCTTTCCTTGCCTTTCCTGAGTCCTCGAATATCTCCAGATATCTCTGCTATAAATTTTCTTTTCCGCGGACTTTCCTTTTCTGCGTGAATTTTCTTCTCCCGTGTTCGCCCTTCCAATTCTGCTCCTCCTCCACTCCCTCCCGCGAACCTTCCTTTTCCGGCCACAAAGTCACGCAGAAGGCTCGTCGAACTACTCCTTCAATTCGCATCCTCGAAGTCCTTCTTCGAAGCCCGTCGCACTGAATCGACCCTATCGAACAAAACACCTTCGCCTTCTCGTCTGTTGGCAACAAATCCTTTGGCCGCAAACCCCCAAAGAGCGATTCCTGTGCTGAATCGAAGCTTCGTGAGGTAGAATTATGCCAAATTGGACACCCCGGCCTCCAAACTTTCGACTAAAATTTTCTTTGTTCCCGTGCCTTCCCGCGACGCCGAAATTTTTCTTCACTGCCCTAGAACCAAACTCTGATACCACTTGTCGAAAAATTAGGGTGAAGAAAAATAAGAATGGACAACAATCCAGACGAACACACAAAGATTTATGAGGTTCGACAAAGATACCTACGTCATCGGGAGAAGAGCGGCGGCTTCCTTTTCAATATTCAGAAAAGAGTACAGAATATAAGATTCAGAATTTCCCATAAGCTTACAAACATGACATATATATAACCTTATAGTACAATATGTAATTACTTAAATTACCTCTGTACCAAACAACGGGGTGTTGCCCCCGCACCCCCAACCCACATAATGAAACTCCCTCGATTGGACAAATCCTTTTGCTCCACTCCTCTCGTGGGCTCCGCTCCACTCTAGCATATGTCCCATTTATGATATATGAGTCATACCTAACATATAATAAATAAAAAATAATAATTTTTTATAATAATTAATCTAATTATTATGAATACTAATATTAAAATGTGTCTAACATTATTTCATTGCATTATCAATCATTGATTTTAGAGCGAAAGTCAAATCAAGCGAAAGTCATTGTAATGTCACTATTAATATATGTTATTAGTTAACTTACAAATAAATCATCTTTCATTTTTTATTCCATAACTTTGTTCAACAAATTTCATAGTTAAAAAAATACATGCACAGCTGCAGCTTTTCAGCTGCAGTTGCGCTGCCCCAGGAAGCAGCTGTGGGGAAGCAGCTAAGGGAAAGCTGGCTGTCTATATGGTGCAGCTGCGTGAAAAATGATGTGGGTCAACTGTCTCATGTAAAAATAACCAAACTGCCCATGTTTGTTAAAACTGTTTTTAATTTTTGGTTTATTTGTATAAATATGAGTGTAATATACATAAAATTTATAAAAATATTATTTCTTAATTAATTAAATGAAATAAATTGTTTTTAATATTCATTTTTATAGATAATTTTTAAAAATTATTTTGTAATTTTGAAAACATATAGGTTTAAAATTTATCTTTATCTATATATCAATGTATACAAATATTAATTCATCTATACATATAAAAATTTACAAACATATTTTAGAAGCATAAAATGTAAAATTTTTAAAAGCACCTCAAGCCATATGAAGTCGTGTTTTCATACATAAAGACGTAGGAACTCATACAGTTTCGTTCATCCAAAATAGCCCAGAGTACATAAATACAACTCAACCACTAGCTAGGAGAAGTAGAATGAAAAAAACTGTAAAACTACGATCACGACGAGTAGCATAATAGTAATGTTATTTCTAACAATAACACGTTGTAACTCCCGTGTCTGCCCTTCGTCATCTGAAACTCGCAAATCGCTACCAACATCATCCTCAATATCAGAGAAACTGTCTGCCCATCGAAAAAATCTGCATTGATCGGAAATGCTTCGTGGGCATGTATAAAACTTCCTAACATAGTTATGTGCCTACTGTGAGGTCAAAAGTGGGGTTTGCAGGTCACAATGACAAACCACTCGTCGGGAGGTAGCGGACAACCTAGAACTCATATTATCCTGAAAAGCAATGCAGCATAAAACATAATTACTAACATATTAGGTAATGAAAAAAGTGCTCATTAAAATTGAAATATTTGGTTGAAAACAAACACAGACCCTAAATCATATTGTGTTTACATCAGATATGAATCCAAATAATCACTCTCCAATTAACGAGGTAGTGATCTCCTCACGAAGGGCTGTCATTTCATTCGCACCCTCCCCATCTTTCGTGCACATTGAGGCATTGTCGTTCTTCTCCGTTGATAGAGATTGGCCAATGCGGTATTCAAAAGCTTCGACTGACACTTCCTCGTCATTGACCTCGACACACTCGAAATCAACATCAGCTCGGGTGGATGCCGCCTAATATAGTTATTAAGGGTCATAGTGGCTAACACTATATGCACCTGTTTCGGAAACGGATAAGGTGATATATCTCGAAGTATGACCCATTTTTTCTTCCAAACTCCAAAAGTCCTCTTAATTACGCCTCGCAAGGATGAATGTCTTTTATTAAAGACCTCTTTTCTATTTCTTGTACGATTGCTGGCTCTCTCAAAATCTGGAATATGATACCTTGTGTCAGGATAGGGTTTAAGGTACCCCCTCTGCATTGGGTAGCCAGCATCCACCAAATAGTACTTCCCTGAAAACTTATAAACTGTAGGTGAGCAAACAAAACAAAAATCTACTTGTATTAGTAAGGAACTAACCATGCGGTGGGTGAGGTAAATTGTACTCCAGATTTCTCGTTGCAATTTTTAAAATTCTA